GGTCTCTACAGAGCCATAATTACTCTTTATTTAATTCTACAAGTTTCGTGGGGAAGGAGACTTGTGATTTCCCCCTTCACCCTAGCTGGGACTGCATCCCAAGAACATGGACTTTTTGATGAGAGGGACCAAAACTGTCTGCAATAAACAATGAATTAGTGCCCGTTCCCACAATCCTCTCAGTAATTCAGATTCACTCACACATACTTAGTAAATGAATCTAATAAACCATGTTCTTACATTAAAGGAAGATTGTAGATTTACAAATACAAACATGTATTCAGGGCCGTCTTTAACAAGGGGCAAACAGGGCAGCTGCCCCGGGCCCAGTTGCTCCTGGGGGGCCCAAAGCAGCTGCCCTGTGGGCCCCCTGCCCGCAGCCAGGTCTGAACAGCCCACCGGGATACTGAGAAATCTCCCGGTGGGCTGCAGCAGGTGATGTAATCAGGGGCCCCCGGCCCTTTAAGAGAGCTCCAGACCGGGCCTCTGTCTTCCTGCCTGCTGGGAGGAAGTGTGGTGAGGTCACTTCCTCCCAATTAACAGAGTGCCGCTGGGGAGGAGGAGGCATACATGGAGAAAAGGAGGAGGTACAGACCAAGAAGAAGAAGACTCCCATCAATCTCAGCCATCCAGCTCCCACTGGACCACAGGGAAGGAGGGTGGCTAAACTATGTGAATTCATATGACTCTGTGTGTGTGTGTTTGTGTCAGTGTGTGTGTATCTGGCTGTATGTATGTTTATCTGGCTGTATGTGTGTATGTGTATCTGGCTGTATGTGTGTGTGTGTGTGTATCTGACTGTGTGTGTATCTGGCTGTATGTGTGTATATCTGGCTGTATGTGTGTATGTGTATCTGGCTGTATGTGTGTGTGTGTATCTGACTGTGTGTGTATCTGGCTGTATGTGTGTATATCTGGCTGTATGTGTGTATATCTGACTGTGTGTGTGTATCTGACTGTGTGTGTGTATCTGACTGTGTGTGTGTGTGTGTATCTGACTGTGTGTGTGTATCTGACTGTGTGTGTATCTGGCTGTATGTGTGTATATCTGGCTGTATGTGTGTACTGTGTGTGTATCTGACTGTGTGTGTGTGTATCCGACTGTGTGTGTATATCTCACTGTGTGTGTGTATCCGACTGTGTGTGTGTGTATCTCACTGTGTGTGTGTGTATATCTCACTGTGTGTGTGTGTGTGTGTGTGTATCTGGCTGGCTGTGATTGTATCTGGCTGTGTTTGTGTCTGACTGTGTGTGTGTGTGTGTCTGTATCTGACTGTGTGTGTGTAAGTGTGTATCTGGCTGTTTGTGTCAGTGTGTGTTTATATGGCTGTGTTTGTGTCAGTGTACATGTACCTTTTGTGTCAGTGTTTATGTGTATCTGTGTGTATGTATACCTATGTGTCAGTTTGTATGTGTACCTGCTTGTCTGTTTATATGTACCTGTGTGTGTATGAGTGTCAGTATGTGTAAGTGTGTATCTGTGCGTGGGGCAATGCATACATCCCAGCTAACATTGCACACAAATGCAACCCTGCATTCCAACATTAAAAATGCACACAAATACACCACTGCATGTGTATCTGTGTTCCTGTGTGTATCACTGTTTGTGTGAGAGTGCATCTGTGTGACAATGCATACATCCCAGCATTCCTACGCCAACACTGCACACAAATACATATGTATTTGTGTATATATCTGTGTCAGTGTGTGTAAGTGTGTGTCTCTGTGTGTGGATGTGCCAGTGTTTTTATCTCTGTGTGTGCACGTGTATTTATGTATGTGGCTGTGTGTGTATACGCCAGTCTTTGTCAGTGTGTCCAGATGTGTGCATGTATCAGTGTGCTAATGTGTATGTATATCTGTGAATGTTGACATTCATACATCACAGCAATCAAACACAACATGCAACCACACCCCTGCAAACATTACATACAAACACACCCCTGAATTCAAACTCAAAAAGTATATGGAAACACATCCCTACACTTAAACACCAATACTACACCCTACATGCACACACATACTGTATACAACAACATGCTCACATTCAAATGCACAAACACTGCTCACAAATACAGCCCTGCAAAAATGGACAAATGGTAGATCCCCAGCTGGCATAGCATCGTTGGAATTGTACAACAGATGAGGATCTATCTTTTCTCTGCTCTTGCGCTAGAGGGAAGGCTCAAAACAATGTCTTGCACCAGGGCCCTGTCTACATTAGTTCTGCCACTGTGTTGGGGTGGAGGGCGTGATTGCATGCCAGAGAGTGAAAGTGTGGGGGGAGGGCGAGGGATGGCAGGATCCAGGGGGCCCAAACAAATGCCTGCCCAGTGTCCAATCAATGTTAAAGACGGCCCTGGATATAATCTAATATATATTCCAATATATCCAATCAATCGTATAGGGAAATATCCACCACAAAGTCGACCTTATTATTAATATTAATATTAATATTATTTCTAGTTCTGCACACTGGATAAATATTGGATGAGTAGGAAAAGTTTAAAATGTTCAAAGTCACAACTCAGCAAATGTTGCCCTTCAATTCACTGTGGGTTGGGAATGCATTCCTGTGCACATTCTGCTAAAAGTAAATAGCCGACATACCCTCAATGAAAACATGAGTGAATTTAATTGTTTTTTTTGTTTTTATTGGGGCTTTAAAAAACAGCTTGAAAAAAGCCACAGACCTCTTGTCTGCAGCCTTTGCAAGCCCTCCCCTTCTAACCCGCCCAGAGTTTCTGTGGCTGTCCAATCACAGTCTTCCGAATGCAGCACAATGAGAGGTTTTTGCAAGACAGGTGCTCTCGGAAATTGCTGCCTCTTGAGTTTAGCTCCACTGAGCTACTCAAACCAGATTGACAGCCAGGGGGTGAAATATCTAAAAATGTCAATTTCTATTGGTGTGCTGTGCTTTTTTTTCTAGAGCAATAGGCTGAATAGTGCACAAATATTCTTCTGAAAGTTTATTGTCACATAAAATAACTGATAGGGAACATTTTTGGTATAGCTACATTATCACCAGAATTTGAATTTAACTCTATAAATGAATTAAGATTATGTTGCTATTTGTTTGATTTGTTTCAGCTATAAAAACATAGACTGAAGGCCGTATTATTTGTGTTTACATTTACTCATGTTTATAGTTAAAGGACCACTATAGTGCCAGGAAAACATACTCGTTTTCCTGGCACTATAGTGCCCTGAGGGTGCCCCCACCCTCAGGGACCCCCTCCCGCCCGGCTCTGGAAGGGGAAAGGGGTAAAAACTTACCTTTTTCCAGCGCTGGGCGGAGAGCTCTCCTCCTCCTCTCCGCCTCCGTTAAGCCCCGCCGGCTGAATGCGCACGCGCGGCAAGAGCTGCGCGCGCATTCAGCCCGTCGCATAGGAAAGCATTTACAATGCTTTCCTATGGACGCTTGCGTGCTCTCACTGTGAAAATCACAGTGAGAAGCACGCAAGCGCCTCTAGTAGCTGTCAATGAGACAGCCACTAGAGGAATAGGGGGAAGGCTTAACCCATTCATAATTATAGCAGTTTCTCTGAAACTGCTATAATTATGAAAAAATGGGTTAACCCTAGAAGGACCTGGCACCCAGACCACTTCATTAAGCTGAAGTGGTCTGGGTGCCTAGAGTGGTCCTTTAATGTAGTTCCTTATAATGACAAAGCAAACATTCACAAAGGCATATTGTGGAGTGGGCACAGAGAGCATAAGAATTAATAAATGTATGAATGCCTTGAATTATGAGCTCAATAACTACAAAGGCCGTAAATGTATGGAAGCAAATTAAAAGAGAAATAAGCGTGTGTATGTCACACATTGCTATAGATCTTATAAATCGTAGATCAAGGTATTATGTTTGTAATTGTTTGTATATATTATGTAATTTTCAAAATATATTTAAAAAAAAGAAGAAAGAAAAAAACCCCCAGCAATTTCTACTGAGAAGTTTTAGGAGAGAAAGATCCGTCACATATCTGGTCTAGGGTGTTTTTCAGATTCTATAATCCTGTCCAGCAGGTGTGTGTTTTACACATACTTCCATTCCCAAATACAGGTTGTATTAACAATATTAGATAGTACAAGGGAATCTGCTTATTAACCCCTTTGTGACACTAGACGGAAATTTTCCGTCAGGATGCATGGCGAAAAATTTCTATCATTTACTAAAGTTAACCCCAGATTGACGCGATCGTGGTGATCGCGTGGTTAACGCTCCTCCAGTTTGCCTCAGTATCCGAGACAGACCAGTAGCAACCGATCGCGCTGTCCTTTCAGCTGTGATCTCTCTGACAGACTGTCAGAGCGAACACATGTGCTGCAGGGACTCCTGGTCCGCTTCCCTGAGCTTCCACGTTCAGTGTGAAGTGCAGGGAGATGGATCAGCAGTGATCTTCTTCTCCCTGTAAAAAAATAAAGTTTAAGTTAAATCCCACCCATCTTTCCCCCAGGTTTAATAAAATTGATATTTTACTGTGATTTGATTTTTTTTCTTTTAACCACATTTTTTAAATTAACTTATTTAAATGTTTTAAAATTATATATTTTGCTAGCTGGGGTGGGTGGGAGTTATGGGACACTGGGGAATGTACTGTTAGTGCTGCTTACTTCTAGTTAATGGTTAATGGTAAAAAAAATGTTTATTAAAATTTTAAAAGTGTAAAAAAAGTTTTAAGAAAGTTTACATTTTTAAAAAAATTTTTTAATAAGTAAAAAGTTTCAAAACAAGTTTTAAAAAGTAAATAAAAGTTTAAAAGAGTAAAAGAATACATTAAAAATGCTCATTACCACTACACCTGGAACAAACTAGTGAAAAAATGATCCCACGCTAAGGTTCAAAATATGCCTTTTGAAATACCCCAAGGTGTATTCTTTAAAAAAAATGGTATGCGTTTGTGGGGTAGTTTGAAGAAAGCAGCTAAACTACTCCAAAATGAAACATGGACACAGCATAAAACTTCAAAGTTAGAAAATACTGAATGGCTGCGTCTCAAACTTGCCCCTTCACCATCTGCATATACCTGGCAAAGATACATACGGGGGTATTGTTGTATTCAGACGACATAGCTGAGCAACATATGAAATAATATACAGTTGTAGCACACATAAGATTTGCAAAATATACTGTGCACACTCACTTTGTGTGTGAAAAAGGCAGAAAAAATGCGTATTACCACTACACTTGGTACAAGCTAGTGGAAGAATTATCCCACGCTAAGGTTCAATATATGCCTTTTGAAATACCCTAGGATGTCTTCTTTAAGAAATGGTATGCCTTTATGGTGTAGTTGGAATATGTAGCCTGCTAAAGTGCTCCAAAGTGGGACACAGATGCATCAAAACCCTCCTGAAAATTCACACTTAAAAACCTGAACTTGTCACATTTCTTTTACAGCACTGTAACTTCACAAAATAGTGTCTAGGTCATACGCTGGGCATATTATTATACTCAGAAGATGTAACTGAGCATAATTTGGGGGCTTTTATGACAGTGGCACATATCAAGTGTAAGAAATATTCAGCAAAAATGCAACATGTATGTAAAAAAATTTTTTTTCCCCCCCCTTACCACAAACGTTGGCATAAATTGGTGAAAAAATTGTTACAACTTAAGGTACAATATACAGCATATAAGATACCCTGGGGTGTCTGCTTTATCAAATGGAAGCCCTTTGTGGGGTTATTTGAACAGCTATAATACCTCAAAATGAGACATAGGCCCATGAAATCCAGCTATTAAAATTCTAACTATAGAAACTGAAATAGCCTTGCCTCTTATATGGCATTGTAGCTTCATAGAATAGTGCCAAAGGTATACAATGGGGGTATCGTTATAATCAGCAGATGTAGCTGAACACAATATGGGGTCCTGTGCAGGAATAGCACACACCAGCTTTACAATATACACATTACAAAAACCTTGTTATATGTGTATTTGCCAAAATAGAAAAAAAAACAAAATTTTACTCCAATATTTAGCAGAGATTGGCGATGAAATGGCTACGTAAAAAGTGTCAAAATAACCTTTGGTAAATAGCCTGTGAAATCTACTTTATA